TTTTTTTTTTATCTACGTTGGGGTTTTCCATTTATTTATGAAAATATTGGATTTCAAATAACAATTTTTTCTATAAATATCTAAAATGTACTTAAATACAATATATTCAAAACAGCAATTTTTTGTTTATTGATATAAAAACTCCACGAATAACCCTAACGTAGATTATTAAATGATTTTCATATTCTTTATGAAGGTAATGAATATAAAGTCGTCTTTAATGTTCTTTTGCATATTATAACCTAATATGTAAATTAAAAAAAAAACCTCTAACCTGAGAGATACAGTTCAATAACACTAATTTACATAAACACACACACACACACACACACAATATAATACATAAATTGGTATTATATATCTTCATGAGATTGTTGAGGAAAATTAATTTAACGGTGCACACTATGTTCAAGATATTACGGTGCTATATAATTTTATCCAAGCGAGTAAAAAAGCATGAAAATATGAATTTCTACTTGTTACAAATTTTTATAATTCCCAATGCTCGATGATATTTCCTAAATTTTCAATAGCTGTATCCGAATTTTCCATTTTTATATCGAGAAAAAAGTATTTGTAACAGTATTATCGATTAATTGAAACAACCTACATAAAACACAAAATATGACCACAAAGACGCATAGACATTGTATTTTATTGAGAACAATATTTGTTGGTGCGAGGATATACGAAAATTACTTGTACTTTGCTGAGAAAGTTAAACATTGTTTAAATAAAAAAATCATATCATATATGTTAAATATATTTCGATCCTTAGTTCGTTATTTTTTATTTCAATCAGTCGTAATTACTTTCAAATTCAGATCTCAGAATTCTTCAATGTAGATGAAAGTATACTTTTACGGTTTCAGATCTTTTTTTATTTACAATTGAAGCGACTTAAGATGGTAATTAATTTTGTTTCACTTTTCTGTTGCATGTATGACGTTTAAGACGTTTCAAAATTACGCGCTGCTACATGGTCGTACTTTTTTAAACACCTGTTTGTACTGCAAATGGCAACAGTGCAAGTTTATTGCACCTGCGCTCTGTTCTTCAGTGAAAGAGTGTAGCGTTGTCTCGAGTGCAATGCGTTTCCTGTGCAAAAAGAATGTATCGTGGTAAACAGAATCATGTTAGAGAAAATCCATTCTCAGGTTCGTCTGATGATGATAATGGCTATGTTAGGTAAGTTTGTCATCTGTTGTTTTTACAACTTGTAGTTAGAAAGAAAAAACACCACCGGCAAGAATTTCAATTAGAGCGATGTCTACGTTTTGTTTACATGTCATTCAACATTCCTTCGATTTTTAGTAATTAAAAGTGGATTGCCAGTACATTAGTGTAATGAACAGCGTGATAAAATAGACTGAATACATTTATCATCCACACGAACGAGTGTTGATTTCGGAATGACGACACGTATCAATATTACATTGGTAGCATTAGTATATTTCATTCTTTGGCACTTGTTCATGGCAAAATGTCAACGTTATTAAAAAACGATCACTGGTGTTGTATAAAAAAGTAATTGTAATTGTTGATTCCGTTTGTCAAGATATTTGTTTAGTGCGATGCGAATAATTCTGTCAATTACACTTGTTATTTTAACATTCATGTCTGTTATATGGAATGTTGTGAAATTGCTACATCCAATGTAAAATTGCTCCACGTTATTTTATGTATTCGCGTATTTAATCAATTATTTTATTAATACATATTCGAGTCGAAATTAACTAATACTACGTGTAGTTTCTTGATATGCATTTAATTGTGCTACTATTAATATCTGTATGTGATTGTATCATCTTTTGTATAATAAGATTATAATTTTTTTAATTGTGACATAATAAGAGAATAGAATAATAACCGTATACTAAATTTATCATGGATCTACTTTGATCTACGTAATTAATGTTTTAACCTTGTTATCTTATTATTTTTTGTACACGTATGAATGTTAATAATTTGATGCTATTATGATATATGTACTATAAATCATGTAAATTATGAAATTAATATTAAATTGTTAAATGTTGTACTAAAATGATTGAATATTATTTATATTATAGATTGCAACTTTGTTTAATGAATTTTAATAGTTAAAAAATTAAATTTTTTCCTAATTTTTTTTTTATTCGATTTATTTTAATCATTCATATTTTTTCAGCAAAAGAGGTTCAAGCAATCCAACTAGCGAATTTGACGAATCGTTTCAAGCGATGTGCGATATTTATGGACAAACACCTCCGAGAACCCGACTCAATCGTAAGAAACGGTACATGAAACAGAAACTTAATGGAGGGTAAGTCAATTGACGTTTATATGTATAATAATGAGTAAGAAGTAATATTTAATATTTAATGTAGAGAAGTAATATTTAATGTAATAAAATTGTATAATGACTTTTAATGGAATTATTATTATTATTATTATTTTTTTTTTTTTTTTGACGAAAATCATTAGAGAGAGCTTAAGTGAATTGAACGTAGAGAATCCGCGGGAAATCCATTTATATGTTTCCTGTTCAAATGTTTCTTTTGGTATTATTTTCTTTAAGGAACATTTTACACGTATTTCTTTTCGATTATTATATTTGATTATATCATATTTAATTTGATCTAAATTTAATTCTTTAAGGGAAACAAAATCGTTAGAAAAAGACACATCATCGAAGTTCGCTATTCGCAGACGCAATACTCTGGACAATATAATTTTCAACGAAATGTGTGACAAAGCAGATAAGGATTGTGAAAACGAGGTAAATCAAGATATAGCAAAGGAAGGAAATCGAAAGTCTAAAAGAACGTTGAAGGTATTGCGTGGAAGTGAAAGAGATTTAAAACTGGATATAGACGCAGCTTATAATTATAACGAAAAATTTGATCCTTGTCAAGTATCTACCCCTAATCACATGAAGGTATAAAATAAATATAAACGTCGAAATGATTTTGTAATATTTAGATCTTGAAGAATTGTTTGATTATATTGTTCAAGTGAAAACTAATCGGAAGCATTTACAGATTGAAACTCGAAATAGATTTCGCAGTCTGCGATCAAAGCCTGTTGATATAGAAGAAAAGAAGCCTGAAGTTAAACTTACTGAACAAGTTGTAATTACTGATGAAAAGGAATCAGTCGTGCAATCACCAAAAACACTGAGCCTCAAAGAACGGGAAATATTTCATGATACATTTTCCTTCTTAATTAAGTTGGTATGTGAATGTTGTATTTCAAATAAAAATATATTTCTATTAAACATCTTAAGGTTCTCTTTTTATATTTTATAGGGAAGCATAGAACGTAATTGTCGCCGGCAAATGAGTCATGAAGAAACGCGATGGCAAAATGAATTGAAAGATTTAGTATGGCTAGAATTACAAGCTCATCACGCTGGTAGGAGTCCCATAGCTCAAGATGAATATCTATGTAAACAACGCGAGGTTGTGGAAGGTTTACTTAAAGAAATAATGGAGTATAGGTAAATTATGTAAGAATTTAGATAGATTTTTAGTTATAAAATCAAAAAAGAACTGAAATAAAATAATACTGATTTTTAGATATGATCCTATTGCAAGTCTAAAAAATAACAATATATCTTGGAGTGATGTTAATACTACTATGTGCGTGGATCGAACTGCAAATGTAGGATCTAGTCCAAATATAGAACTAAGTGTTTGTCCAGGTTGCCTTTCAATGTATTGTAGAGCATGTGCACGAGCGCAAGGCGAAGCATTACAGCAAGTAGAAGGATTACTGGCTAGATTGGAGGCAGCAGAAGCACTTTATCCTTCGTCACAAGCCTTTGCTGCACATTATCCTTTATACAAAAGTACAGAATTTACTGGTAGAGTGAAAGCAATGTGTCTTTGGTACAACATGACTAAGCATCATCGACTCAAACTACAAATAGTGGGAAAATTGTTAATGATGTCGCATACGAAAAAAAAACATGATGATACTGGTGATTCTGGAATAAGGTATTTGGAATAACGATATTATTACAACAAAATATGATGATATATTATAATTTAATATATTTTTTCATTTTAGTTCACGATCGTCAGATTGCTCTGTAGAGCATAAGCAAACTTTAGTACGATTTGAAATATCAAACCAACAAGATGAAAATTCCAGTCCTTCAGATAGCAATAATAGTAATAATTCTTCTGGTTTATCTTTTGCACAATCTTGGCCTTCTACTCCTGAATCGTCATTTACATGCATAGAGGATGATAAAACCGATAGATTTGACTTTTATTTAGTTGAATTCGATCGGCAAGCATACAGGTAAATATTGTATTATAATCAAATAATCTTCTTACGTTTAATGAATATACTAATTTTTTTTAAATTTTCCTTCAATTCTTAGGAAATACATTGAGGATGTATTAAAAACTAGAGGTTTAAGAAAAAGTCT